AAAAATGTAAGGAGTAGAAGTAAAAAGTCGCCATAAAAATAAGTAGTAAAGTAAAGTAAAAATATCAGAAAAATCTACTTGAGTACAGTAACCAAGTATTTGTGCTTCGTTACTTCCCATCTCTGATTACTACTTAGTGCTTTTGTTGCCAGTGAGTGTGCTGTCCATCTAGTGTCAGACAGACTTATACTGTGGTTTTCATTACAGTGTAAACTTGCTATAATTGTCTGCCAACTGAATGTTGATATTGATTTTTAAAAAAATCCGTACAAAGTTAAATGAATAATATGCAGCATTGCAGGCCATTTTTTATGTTTCTCAGAATGTTTGCTGGCTTCTTCCCAAAGCAGGATATGTTATATCAGATGATTGTACATTTTAAAGAGATGAGATACTGTGTTATGACTATCTGGTGAAATTTTTTTCCTGTAATTTAGCTGACATAGAGAAGACTCTCTATAAACTGATTTAATAAAACTACTATTGTTCACCTGGTGTAAATGGACAATAATGTATCTCTAATGATCTGTTTCTTTTTTAGTCTATAGATAGCATTTGGCAAAGAACCAATCCTCTGAAAAATGTTGAACTTTTTGTTTTTTAGCTTCAGCTCAAATAAATCACTTTTGTTTATGTATTACAGCTGGCTGCACCTTTAATGAAGACTCAGATTCCGGCTTATGTCAATACTATCAGGGTCAAGAGGATGACTTTGACTGGGAAAACTTCAAGACCTTCAACTGGCCACACCCAACAGATGACCTTCTGTCTGGTATGCTCTGACATGGCTCACAGGTCATGGGTTTCCTTGTAACATAATACATTTGATGTTAATACAAAAATTGAGGCTAATTATCACCTCGTTACATTAAACGTCTTTGTAGTCTTATCCTTATGTTACTTGCTTTATGTATAAAGTCCCAACACAGTATGTTAAAAGTTTTTGGTTTTGAAAATATTCAAAGAATATTAACAATTTTACAAGGCTCCTTTTCTAAGAATAATTAATTTGACACATTACTACACTGCTCACAAAAATTAAAGGAAGATTTTGAAAACACATCAGATCTCAATGGTGCAAAAAATCATGCTGTTTATTTATACTGATATGGACTGGGTGATGTGTTAGGAACAAATGGATGCCACATTATTTGATGGAAATGAAAATGATCAACCTGAGGGCTGAATTGAAAGACACCCCAAAATTAACGTGAAAAAATGATGCGGCAGGCCTGTCCATTTTGCTGAAATTTCATTGCAGCACCTCAAAATAGTATTCAGTAATATGTATGGCCTGACACATCTAGGCATGCTCCTTATGAGACGACAGATGGCGTCCTGGGGTATCTCCTCCCAGATCTAGACCAGGGCATCACTGAGCTCCTGGGCAGTCTGAGGTGCAACCTGGCGGCATTGGATGGTTTGAAACATAATGTCCCAGAGGTGTTCTATCTGATTTACGTAAAGCGAGCATGGGGGCCAATCAATGATATCAATTCCTTCATTCTCCAGGAACTGTCCGCCTACTCTCTCCACATAAGGCCAGGCATTGTCGTGCACCAGGAGGAACTCAGGACCCACTGCACCAGCATAGGGTCTGACAATGGGTGCAAGGATTTCATCTCCATACCTAATGTCACAGGCAGCATAATGTTCTCCACGGCTTCTCCAGACCCTTTCACGTCTGTCACATGTGCTCAGGGTGAACCTGCTCTCATCTGTGAAAAGCACAGGGCGCCAGTGGCGGACTTGCCAATTCCGGTGTTCTGTCGCAAATGCCAATCGAGCTCCACGGTGCCGGGCAGTGAGCACAGGGCCCAATAGAGGGGGTCGGGCCCTCAGGCCACCCTCGTGAAGTCTGTTTCTGATTGTTTGGTCGGAGACATTCACGCCAGTGGCCTGCTGGAGGTCATTTTGTAGGGCTCTGGCAGTACTCCTCCTGCTCCTCCTTGCACAAAGGAGCAGATACCAGTCCTGCTGATGGGTTGTAGACCTTCTACGGCCCTGTCCAGCTCTCCTGGAGTAACTGCCTGTCTCCTGGAATCTCCTCCATGATCTTGAGATTGTGCTGGGAGACACAGCAAACCTTCTGGCAATGGCACATATTGATGTGCAATCCGGGAGGAGTTGGACTGCCTGTGCAACCTCAGTAGAGTCCAGGTAGCGCCTCATGCTAACAGTAGTGACAGTGACCTAGCCAAATGCAAAACTGGTGAAAAGGAGTCAAAAAAGATGAGGAGGGGAAAAATGTCAGTGGCCTCAACCAGTAAAACCATTCCTGTTTGGATGGTCGTCTCATTGTTGCCCGTCTAGTGCACCTGTTGTTAATTTCATTAACACCAAAGCAGCTTAAACTGATTAATAACCCCCTCTGCTACTTACCTGACCAATTCAATATCCCAGAAGTTTAATTAACATGATGCTGTACTCTGATTACAAAGTGTTCCTTTCATTTTTTTGAGTAGTGTAGTTTGATGTTACAATATATTTTTACATTTTACAATATATTTTTACATTAAAAAGTTTACATTAAATAGTTTGAAAAACACATGTTGTGTCCTCTTTAAAAAATGCTATACTACCCTAATAATAAATGTAATATACAATTTAGTTAATTACATTTAATGTAAATGTCAATTCTGATGCTATTAAGTTGAGATTAAAAAAGTGAGTAGACTTTTTGACGCACCAGCCAAGTGGACTGGAAGACAAAAAAAAAATAACTTCCTCTCATATGTTTGTAAACACACATATATGCAAATCAATGAAGTTTATTTATATAGCACCAACACATGTCATCTCAAAGCACTTTATAGAGACAATTCAACCAGATACAGTCAGATTGGTTCAAAGTTTTCCATCTAAGGAAAACCAGCTGATTGTTTCTACTCATGATATATATGTATGCATATATACATACTGTCATGATTGTTCATAGTGCGTTCCCACAGCATGTGGTGAAGGCAGTGATTTCCGTGAGTCCTGCAGGTAGTTCCCCTCTCTGCATTTCAGATGCACAGTGTTTTATTTACCCCACAGCATCATCAAATAGGAGGAGCTTAATCTGAAATTAGGACCAGCCCACCTGGCAAATGTCTGTTGTCACAGATTACCAGTCCGAGCCTGAATCCCACCGACGTGAAAAAATCTCAGCAAATAAACTGAATGGTTATAGCTTCTTTACTGCAGGTTTGTGCCTTTAAAATGGCCATTTGTAAAAAAAAATAAATAAGATATATTAATAAATATAAAAGATCAGCTGTGCTACTGTTGTTTCACAGATTACTTTTTAGTTCACCCAGAAGTCTATATTGCCCCCCATTAGGCTCCAAGCTGAATGAAAATGATCTATGCTACGTTTTCAGTGCTGCCGCATTTGTACAGGTAAAACTATTGTTTGCGCAGATTTGGTTTTTAAGCTAGAATATTTTTTATTTTTTTTATATTACCACAGATGACTGGTAGACTTTAGTGCTCTGCTCTTTTCCTGATATAAAAATATTGCAAAACCTCACATGTCATTCATGTGCTGGCATTCAATTTAATAGTGGGCATGTTTACCTTATTTATTTTTTTTGGTTGGTTGCCATGGCAGCGCTCCGAAGCAGCAGCCAAAAACGGCTCCTCTCGACGATTTCGATAACTTCAAATACTATGCCGCTTAATACGATACAGACTAGACATCAAACCCGCATCTATAATCGCCAATGCCTGCTGGAGCTATGGTCACAAAATGTTTTAAATCCAGATAATTTTGACTATTTAAAAAGCTGCGGAGTGCTACGGACGGATGTAAACAAAACCACAGTGGAACGTATTTGCCGAAGGAAGAGATGTGCGAGACGGAGAAATGCTGCAGATGGGGGCTAACTGCAAAACTAAGGGGAAATCCCCACAGACCTCTGCTTCCATCAATCCTGCTCTCCAACGTCCGCTCGTTGGATAACAAGATTGATAATCTCTGACTGGAACTGTCTTCAAGAAAGGAGATATGTAACTGCTGAACCATCATTCTGACGGAGTCATGGCTGCATCCAGAGATATCGGACAATGCTTTTAGCCTGGAGGGGCTAACGCTATACCGAGCCGATAGGAATAAAGAACTAGGCAGTAAGACTCTGTGTGGTGGGCTATGTATTTACAACAACAACAGCTGGTGTAAAATGCTAGCTCAGTCTCCAGCTTCTGCTCTCCAGACATTGAGTTTCTGACTGTTAACTGGAGGCCGTTCTATCTGCCCAGAGAGTTCAGTGTGGTTGGTATTATTACCCCAGTGCTAAAACTAAAGCGGCCATAAAGATTCTTTACCAGGCTTCACAGAGGGTGACATGATTTCGGACCAAGACTCTGGCGCAGCAGCACTATGTGCGACAGGAGAACAGAGTTTACTTGAAGGGTTTTTATTATTCAGACTGGAAGCAGAGTAAGCAGGAAATCCAATGCGGTGTTTCACTGCAAAACAGGTAAGGTGATAAGTGATAAGAGGGTGGACAGGCAGGTGAGCTCGATTTTAGAGAATCTTGGAAGGAAGCTTTTTTGGGTAGGAGTGGAAAGTGCCAGGAGCCAGCCTTCAGCAGGAGGTAAACTAAAAGGGAATCAGAGAGACAGGACTGGTAAGTAAGAGGATGAAAACAAGTTCAGGTTTTATGGCGGTTGGCAGACTTGTTAAAAGTGCATTACTGCCACCAACTGATAAGGAGTTGAGCAAGGAAACAGGAAACGACTCACCCGCAGAAAAAATAAAATAAAAAATATTTTCCAAACTGTTAACCTAAACCCAACATAATAAATACTTAATGAAATTCGTCCTCATAATTTCTAATTTATCTTTAAGTTATCGTCACTCTGCCAGTTTCTGATGGTCCTATTGGTTTTCCCATCATGCTTTCAACCATTTCCCAGTTTAAATCTCTAACTTCAAGATAATTTTCTTCAGCTTTCACTATTATTTTGATTTTTTTGGGTTTCCTTCCTTCTGTCGTCTGAGCATTACAGTCAATCACTTCAACCATCAAAAGAACAAAATCTTTCTTTTTTACAATAAATGAGTCTTCTTCAATTTTGGGACGCTGTTCCAGAGGTTTTGAACTTGTCATTTGTTGAACTGTTGGTTTGGGTCTTTCTGACTGGGATGTGTGTGACAAATAATACAAACGTTTTACTGCTGTAACACCACAATTTCCCCATGGTGGGAAAAGGGATTTTCTATTAGATTATATTCTATATTGTGCGTCAAGGCAAGATATATGCAAATGTCTTCCACGAAATTAACAAGTAATACATTTTTTTTTAGCAAAAAATTATTTTGTCCAGGTTTCACTGCTGAACAGCTTAGTTTGAGAAACAATGTGTTTAGACTGATCCAAGTTTCCCCACTTAATCATTGCTATTTTCTGGAATTGTTGCGTGGATTTCATATGAGGACAATATTTGAGAAAATAGAAAGGGGATATGGAATTCAGCATGTTTGACATTCTAAGTTTAAGAAATAAAGTTTATAATTATGTATAGAATCGTGTTGACAGCAAATGTGGAAAATGCTATCCCACATGCTAACCCACATGCAGAAACACTCAAGAGACAGGGAAAAAGTTAAAAGGTTTATTGACAATGTTTTCAGAGAAATGTGAACAGCGTCTTGGTTCGTCAGGCTGATCACGGGAGGTAAGCAACTAGAGGAGGACAGATCGGTTAGAGTGGATCCAGGAAACTTGCTGTTTAACGGCGGTTTGGGTTAATACCTGCTCAGGGGGTATTCTGACCGGCGGGGGGGGAGTCAGAGAGGTTCTCAAAAAATCAGGAGAACAGATCAGATTTAGCTGGCTCAGGTTTGCTGGTACCATTACTGGCAAACACTCTGGCAGGGAAGTGTCAGCCTCCTCCTCCTTAAAAAGCCTCCAGATGAGCAGATGGGAAACAGGGGTGCAGACGTCAGCTCACGCCCTCAGGAGAAAGATCTCAGGCTCCCTCTGGTGGAGAAAGGTGACAAGCCTCCAGATCCCAACAATCTGTCCACTAAAACTCAATTTTAGGGAATTGATGCATAAGAATTCTCGGCAGGCAGGTATTTCTCTGATGGAGCAGCTCAGTGTTTAGAAATCGAGGGGTAGAGGAGTAAAATCAGACCCCGGTAGAAGTTTCTTTCAGCTGTTTGCAAACACAGCATTTCTATATCGGCCATGTTTTGACTAGGGATGGGGATCGAAACCCGGTTCTATCAAGGACCCGGTACCCCTTTTTTCAAAACCCGAAAATCAATAACGTTTGGGCCTATCGATACCACTATCGAGTCTGGTCGTTTTTTTTTTTTTTCTCCCGGAGGTTCTGTAACATAATTGTGTGTCCCTCAAGTCGCGACACAGCATTTAAATCTAATCAATCCAATCACTGCAGCATGTACACCAATGTTTTGGAATTAAATTGTAAGCAAACAGATATTAAAAGTAAAACAAGTGAAGTCTGGCAGTTAACTTCACTCGTGACTCGGCTTCATTTTACCAAGCTCAAAGATAAAGAAGAAGCGAAATGCAACTTATGTTGCAAAATGATGTCTTTTAAAGGGGTGGACACAACCTCAATGGCCAAGCACATTAGTATTGTGCATGAAATAAAGGCCAAATGCAGTACCTTCGACTGTCTCCGGGTTGAAAAGACTCCTCCTCCTCCTCCTGCGGCTGCCGCCGCACCACAGTCGGGCCCATCTTCATGATCCACTCAGAGCACCACTGGTAAGCGCGCACACAGACTTTGTAGCTTGTCCGGTCAGTTAAAAATAGTAATTGTGAAATCCGTCTTGTAATCGGAAGCATACAAGCTAGTTAGCTTGAAAAGTAAATAAAGTTTCAGACATGCTGCGTGACGATGTGTTCAGATTGGCTCAGGAAAACGACAATTAGGTTATCATGATGCGTTCAAGTGTAACGTAAAGAAAAGGGAAATTGAGTTTTTGGCGAGAAACATGAGTAATACAGTTGTATTTTGCTCTAATTATTTTAGAATATATAATTAAACTACTGATGCCAACATTTATTAAAAATTACATTTAATTTAAAATACAATTATTTATTTGCTAAATATTTTCCTAATCACTAAAAACATGATGAAAAGTGACAGTAGACAATACATTAACCAACAATTGTGAAAATGTATATATTTTTTTTAAACCAAAAGAAGACATTTCGTCAAATAATTTTTTTCCCACTTCCTTTCTGTCTGTTAAAAACATATTGTCGCATCGTCTTTCCATCAAATAACAGAAAAGTATCGATAGTGGTATCGATAAAGACTCGGATCGATAAGCAGTATCGATAAAGGTATCAATATCAATAAATATTAACGATCCCATCCCTAGTTTTGACTGATGTTGATTAATAAGCCAGACAATAGTGGGTATCCTCTTCAGAACATTGTTAAGACAATAATTGTATGTCCTCATTAAGAGGCTTCTCAAGATCCCCTGCAAGACAGACTGGTGAAGAAGGTCATTGCAGCTCATAGCTATCATTACCTATAACATCTCAGTAAAAAAAAAAACTTGCATGAATTACTGCAACATTGAAATATTTTTGTATTGAATTGAATGTGAAGAAATCATAAACGCAGGGGTCTTGCAAGCTTGTTCTACGCCATTAAGATAAAAAAAAAGCTGAAATTTTACTGTTTAACTTTAGAATTAAAATCACAGTCTGGCATTAGTTTGAAATTAGCTATGTTGCCCTTTATCACACTAATACCCACACAGATATCGGTTAAAGTTTGATAATGGATCTTTTTCCATCTCCATCCATCCATTGTCTCAGATTAATTGGAATTTTGACCCATTTCCAGTTTGTTCCCCTCCTTCCTCCTTTTCTTTATGCCCCCCATCAACAGTGACAAATGGTGTGCCCCGTGTGTGTGCGCACTCGAGCGTCTGTTTACAATGGGGAAGTGAAGGGGAGTGACCCAGTGTGGGTGAATAGGATTTAGTGTGTTGCTGATTATTTTTTTGTCAGTTGGAAACCTTTTGTCCTCCTCACACCCCCTTGGTATCATGCTCGCCATGACAGGGAAGGAGACACTGAACAAAGCCAAGCTCCTAGTCCGTTCCAACTTACACTCATTTAACACACACTGCAAGTACCAATCACATGTTGCTGGTCACAAAGGCTGCAGCTGGGACTGCTTTTGCTGTCTTGGCAATTGGGGACTGCACTGGGGGGCTGTTTTTATTCGGCATGAACTTGACTGCATCAATCTTTAGGTTTTTTTTATTATCAGTTAAGCTAAACTGCTTAATACTTAAATACTTAATTAGTCCTGTAAAATATTTAGATTTCCAAGTAAGAAAACCTCTCTTTTATCCACTCTGGTATGTTACTGTAAAAAGGTTTTCAGCTTATTTCTGCTCCCGACCCCATTAGTTGGATTCCAAATGCATCATTCTGTTATTTAAATTTTTTTTTTTTTTTGCATGGGAACAAATGAATGGGATTTAAAATATTCATGGATTTATCTCCCTTTTGCCTTTCCTTCATTTTTTTCTATCAATAGACTGTAATTATAGGCCATGAACTGAAGCAGGTGCGACGTCGGGCTTGTCATGCCTAATTTTACAGACTACAACAGCTGTGATTTGTAGCCAGTTGGTCAACTCTCCAGATCTGAACATGTTTAAACTGTGTTCATTTTCTTTCTATTTTCTCTTCACCTGAGATTTTGATTGCTTATTTATTACTACAAATGTAAATTTATATATGTCTATGTGCTAGACACAAATATATATACATACATACATATATATGTGCTTGTATGTATATTGACTTTTGTCAATTTTTCCAAAGTGATTCCTAAGTTTGATGTGAGGAAAGAATTAAGTAAAGCTACAGTGTAAAAGTGAGTCAAAGGTGTAAGTGATTAAAATATTGAGTTGCTTCTCTCCCTCATTGTCCCTCATCATTATCCTAGTAGTCCAACATTTGTTTTTGTAACAATCTGGTCACTCAGCAAGGTCACATATCCTGCTAATAGCTTTTATTATTATTGAAAGCTGAACATGCCATTGTTAAAACTGTTGCATAACTTTTGTTTTTCCCATCAGGGTCCTTCATGATGGTCAATTCCTCACAGCATCATCGGGGGCAGAAAGCACGGCTGTACCTGCTCCCTTTAAAGGAGAATGACACCCACTGCATACAATTCAGCTACTATCTGTACAGCCGTGTTGGCCACAGCCCTGGAACTCTGCAGGTCTACATCCGGGTCAACAGTGGTCCCTTGGGCAGCGCTGTATGGAATGTTTCTGGCTCACAGGGTCAACAGTGGCAGCAGGTGGAGCTGGCAGTCAGCATATTCTGGCCCAGTGATTACCAGGTTAGTCAATCATTGAAAATCACAACACAAAGGTGTACCAGCTTATGTTTTTCAATCAACACCACACTAGACCATCCATAGATTCAGTTTGCGTTTCTTTCATGCACATGCACTACTAGTGTTTTAAAGGTCACTGGAGTTGAGGTGATTTATTGTCTACACTAAATATTGGAATGTCACAATGTCCTTTGTGTGACCCAAAAGAAGAAGGAAAAAAAAGAGTGGCGCAACCGCAAACCTACAAAGATCATATACAGAAAATTTTACTTACGCTGTGAGCCGTCCAACTACCCCAGTCAAACCCCAGTATCTATTATATTTTATGTGCACAAGAAATCTAAACTAGAAAATTTCTGAAGAAATTTAGACGGGGCCTGCCACTTTGTGCGTAATATTTGAACTGGCAACAAACGCTTCATGGGGTTAGTTGGGTTCACCTTACATTGGTATATATCACCATTACTGGACACTCGTGTCACCTCAACCCTGGGAACTGGCTTCACAAAACCTGTTGACGACTAGCGTCGCCACACTGAGTGGGAAACTGATGTAGCAACAGCTAGTGGTGGATGCAGTCTCCACAACTACTGGACACTGGCGTCGCCAGACCTGGTCACGGCTGGGGTAATTATAAATATCTCTATAATGTAATAAATGGCTGAGTATATTATATGAGCTTTTGTTTTGTAGAGGAAATGTCTTATTTTGACGGTCTAGCAGGGCTGTGTCTTTAGCAAATGGTCAGCCTCTGGAGATGTGGAATCCATTTACAATTGTTGAATCTCTTTTTCCTTCTAAATAGATCAGCCTATGTTTTGTTACATAGGAAATTGATTTGTTTTTTTTTTAAATGTGCGCTCAGGTGTGTTGTCAACAGGCCTTGATTGTGTAACTTTAACAAATTGGTTGAGTTTAGGTCATAACTGAGCCATAAATGAGCCATATGCTGCAGTGAATTGGTGTGTATAAGGAAGGGTCATGCGTATGAATGATATAGAATCCATTTCCAAATGTTAAATAACTGGTTTTCCCTGTTATTAGGTGAATAGATGCTAATAGATGTGAGACTTTTATTTTGAAATTTGCTCTAGGGTGTGTTTTGAAAATGTAGCTAGAGTCTAATAGAAACAAACTGATGGAGTTTGGGTCATTATGTTGAACCATTTGCATCAATAAATACATTAGTTTAATCTATAGGCTTTTATTTTATAGGGTCCAGGGGGTCTTATTTTGAAAGTCTTGCAGGGTTGTGGGTTGAGGAAAGGGTCAGACCCAGCAAGGACACTTGCTGGGTCTGACCCTTTCCAATTGTCAAATCACTCTTTCAATAGATCTGTCAATAGATTAAGTGGCAATGGGAGGCTTTAGTTTTGAAATTTGCCACAGGGTGTATTTTGAAAAGTCCCCATAGAGTCGGTTTCTAAAAAGTGGTTGAGTTTGGGCCATAATGATGAGCCATATGCTGCAATAAATATCTGAGTAAAATCTAGTGGCTTTTATTTTGTAGGGTCTCTGGAGAGTTATTTTGAGAGTCTAGCCGGGTTATGTGTGGAGGAAAGGGTAAGACCCAGCAATGATACTTAATAAATCTCCGATTGTTAAATCACTCTTTTTTCCTGTTATTAGTTGAATAGATTAAGTGGCAATGGGAGACTTTTATTTTGAAATCTGCCATTGAGTGCGTTTTGAAAAGCCTCATAGAGTCTAATTTCTAAAAAGTGGTTACGTTTGGGCCATAATGTTGAGCCATATGCTGCAGTAAATATATAATCTAGAGGCTTTTATTTTGTAGGGTCCCTGGAGTCTTATTTTGAAAGTCTATCAGGGTAGAGTGTCAAGGGAAGGGTCATGGCCAGAAGTAATATAGTATCCATTTCCAAATGTTAAATCAGTTGTAATCATCAATACACTAGAACGCGAGTAGGGACTCGTGTTCTCGCCAAGTATGTTCTTGAGAAGAACACAGGAAAGTATGGACTTGGTGAGAACGGGAACATGCAGCATAAATACGGGTTAATTGGAACAGAAGCGTACTGATGACATCACCACATGCTCGGCTCGTCTGAAGCTGCATTTCACCTCCTGTTATTAATAGTCTCTTGATAATAATAAGTTATTTTTTCATTTAGTGGGGGAATAATAATTAGCACAGTCAGAAAAACACAAATCAAATGAATATTTTGCCAAATAAAAAAAAAATAAAAAAATCGCCATCAGAGCCAGCGGTCCTTCACACACAGCTATGCCAAGAGAAGGCTGCTATAGTAGTGCTGCGGTTAGCCTTGGCTGCCGTTAACTTTGGAGCTCCGCTGGTTGCTGTGGTTCTCTCAACTTCGGAAATCTTTTACTACGCATTAAATTGGTAAATGGACCATATAGTGATGCTTTAAAGTATAATATTCTCACCTCAAATGATCTTAAAACATACCCTTATTGAACAACAGCAACAGAGAAGAGAACTTTTAACTTTCAATAGAGCGCTCCATTGAAAGCTGCTGCTGCCACAGTGCATGCTGGGACAGCTGTCAATCTCAAGAACGCGCGAGTCTGCATACTCGATAAAGAGGGCGGGACAAGAGAAACGGCCAGTGTTTTACCCATTCATTAGATGAATATATCCTGTATAAAGTGGCAGAGGTAGGCATTCCCTTTAAAGCTCCATCACCTTGATGATGCTTAATGAGCGTGTCAGTGACACAGACAGAAGCGCAGCACCAGTGTTTCCAATTTAGCTACTTTGTCGCTATATTTAGCAACTTTTCAGTCAGCTCCCTCAATTGCTGAACCTGCCGTAGAGAGCCATGACCAACATGACGATGACCCACTGTTTCTGTGAGCAAGCAAGCACAGCATTACATAATAAACACAAAGGTACATAGCCACTGTTGTAGCTGGTCTACTGGCTCCATCCCTCACATGACGGAAACTTTGGTTCAATTGCCGGTCAAAACACATGCCATAATTGTTGCATCGATGAGTCAAATTATTAGAACAACACAATCTTACAAGAATTTTACAGCAACAACCACAAATATTTGACTTCACGCTACCACCCAGCTGTCTGTGGTGGGCTGTAACAAAGCCCTTTGTTACTGTACTCAAGTACAATTTTTATCTATCTTTACTGTACTTCAGTAGAATCATGGATACTTACAACTTTTACTCCACCAAAATTTACATTTTGTATTGTATTATGAAACTTAAGTGAGTAAAACAAATTGATTAATCATATTTGGTTGGAAAATTTGAGATAACACTTTTAAGCCAGATCGTCCTACTATAATCCCTACCTAGAATTGACTACCGGAGGAATGTGCACATGCATGCTTCTTTGTTGCATATGAGGATATCTTCTGCCTCTGCTTGAAGATATATTGGTAATTTAGGAAATGCCACAGAATAAATGACAAGAATGTAATTTTATTGTAGAATTCTTTTTTTCTCTACAGGACCTTGGACTAGAGATTGACCGATACATTGGCCGGACAATATCCTACTTGATACAAGCAGTGTTGGCTGATTCATTAGTGCATTCAGAGGCCATGCCTTAAGATTAGATGAAGAAAATACATCCGCCATTAGGTTTCAAATAATAATGTTTTGGTTTATCTGTCAATATATATATATTTTTTTTGTTTAATATCAACTTTAGGAATTAGCCCAAAAATATCAGCAGTATATATCGGGGTTAGACATATGTCAAAATAATTGGTATCGGCCTTAGAAAACCCTGTATTGGTTAATCTCCTCTTTAGACTACTCTTCTCCTATATCTGTCATTAACTGTACAGCAAATAAGATCCAATATGTATTATGTATTCATTCAATTTATCCATTGTCCCCACAGGTCATATTTGAAGCAATTGTTTCTGACGAGGAACAGGGTTATATTGCTTTGGATCACACTTTGCTGCTCAATTATCCTTGTTGTAAGTATTTAAGTCCATTATTTTGAAGTGATGATGATCTTACTAAGCTCACTGAAAACTCCAGCTGAACTCACAAGAAAACTCAGTAGCTTTTTAGAGGTATAAGATATTTTTTTGCCTACTGTAAGTCATTTGCTCTAAAGATGTTACCCAAGGAGATGATGAAGGAATAGTTTACACTTAAACACCACCTCTACCTCTTTTCCCATGATGATATTAGCATTTGACTGCATTTGTTACATTTTTTTTCTGAATTCTTCCCTTTTGTTTTTTTCAAACTCACAACATGGCAAGGAGTGCCTCACCAGCTCCCCATACTTAGATTCTTAGCCATGTCTGAATCACCTAACAACCGCAGTCATCAGAGTATTTCTGTAGATTGCATACAAGGGAATGAAAGTGCCCTGTGCTGCTATTGGAGTACTGACTATGTGATTAGACATTAAGTCTCTAAAAATGCAGTGTCTTTGTCTTTATTTAGGCAATCGTTAATGCCAGCTGAGTCTGCTGAAGTTTAAGTAAATAAGGCTGAATTGTGCTGAACACAATGAAAGATAAAGGAACAGGATGCAACATTGCTGTTTATGTCCATGTCTATGATGGCCTCTTCAACTCCAACTCAACAGCCATAAGCAAATTAAAGGGGATCCTGTTTAGTTGCCTTTGTGCTTGCTCAGGTCTCTCTGCGAGCTGTGTGATGTAGGATGTTAAGGCAACAGGCCAATATTCAGTAGAGTTTTATTTTGCCCTGGAACAAGGCAGGAGATCTTCCACAACATTGGAACTATCTTGTCGTTCGAGCTAAGATGAAGACGTGCCTTAGAATCCCACAGGGGTGCTTGCACTGACCTAAGGACTCTGAGACTGATATCATCTAAACCTGGTGCTTTAAGGGTGCTGCATACCCCAACAAAAAAGAAACTTTTACCTTTTCTCAAGGTGTCAAGAAAAAGAAATATACATCTTTCGTGAGAAGCTCAGCCTCCGAAGTCTGAACCTAAAACACATCACAAAAAAAAAAATATTACGAGTAGGTGACAGAAGAGATGGAGAGAGCCGAGCACACCATTTCCACTAAGTGCTTTGCCAGAAAAAATGGTTGTAAGTGGCCCGAATCAACTCTGTTTTTCCGTTTTTGTCAAATTATCTGTATATAAGCTATGTTTAAACTAGATATGATTCCCATAAAATATAAAATGGTATATAATTAACCCCTGGCATTATATGGGTGAAGTGGTTTAGATTAGATCAGTTTCCCTTGAAAAGCCCATTTTTCCTGGCTTAATAAACCAGACTAAGTCTGAGATTAAATGTGTAATTTAGTCTGGCCCAGATGAATGAGACATCAGAAGATTGTTGATGAGAACAACATGTTGTTTTTCAAAGCATGTCTGTGCCTATTGGCCAACGCTCTGACCAATGAACGCTACTGACTGACGTAGTAAGTGCGACAGAAAGCTGGTGGGGTAGTGAAAAAAAACAGCCTGTCGGTAAACCGGCAAATACGTCCTTCTTAAAAATAATTGAGCATAGAGCCTCTTCCTGCTCACATTTCAACAAAAACCCCAAGTCTAATCCTTTCAAAATTGATTCCGAAGCTGAATCAAACGAGAATGTTCAATAGTTGTCGCCATCTTCCTTGTTGTGCTTTCTCCAGTGTCACATGGCTTTGTCGTCACACCCTCAAAACCCCGCCCGCTTGGCATCCAGAAATTCAAAACACATCTCTGTTGTGTGATTGGCCATTTCTAGGGCCTTGATCATTGATCGAGGCTAGAGCACCGCAGGCAAAAATGATTTTGGCCGCTGGTGGGTGGGGCTACTGTAGTTTACTAGGTTACATATTTCCTTGAAAAGCCTCTTTTTTGCATGTAATATCAAGCTTCTGAATGCAAGCTTGGATCAGAGAATTTCCCGGTTAAATTCACATTATATTGCATATTTTGAACTAAATATTATTGCTAGCAACTAAAACGGCTACAACATTAATGGATGGCATGATGTAGGCAAAGTGGCCAAAACCACCCTTTGCCCTGAAAAGGTTTTTTCTGGTTTTGAGCATCAAGCTGCCGATTGCAAGGTTGGACACAAGTCTTTCTGGTCAAAATCACTTTATATTGCTATTTTTGAGATAAATATGATTGCCATAAAAGAAAAAAGCCTTTTACATTAATGCTTGGCGTTGTATGTAAGGCTGAAGTGGCCAAAATCGGCTCCATTTATCCTAAAAAGGCTCTTTTTGCCATTTGACGTTGCTGATTGCAAGTCTGTTCAAATTCACTTTGTTTTGCTGTTTTCAAGGTAAATATGATTGCCTGAAAAGAAAATGGCTGCTATATTAATGCTTGGGATGCTATATGAATGAAGTGGGCAAAAATGGCTCAATTTACCATGAAAAGATGCTTTTTAACATATAACATTAAGCTGCTGTCAAACTAAAAACATCTGGTCGAATTCACTTTATTCATGCATGTTATGTTTGTATATTTACTAATAGTATCCTTGTATGTTTAATGCCCTGTGAGTCACTTTGGATTTCCTGGTGTATAAATGTTGATCTGTGAGTGTTCGTCTGACTGGAGGCTGATTCTTGTTCTGAGGGCATCCTTTTGTTTACTGTTGGCTCTCAAGTTCCAAGTTTGCTGCCTGAATCAATGTCTCAATGTCTCTGTCTCCCCAACAGACAAGGTGCCTAATTTCTCTCGGCTTGGAGACGTTGAGGTAAATGCTGGGCAGAACTCCTCTTTTCAGTGTGTTGCCACAGGCAAAGTCTCTGAGACAGAGCGGTTTGTGCTTGAGGTAAGAATAAGGTTAGATTATTAAGAAGTGCTAGATATGACCTGGAAAAATTAGCAATTTTGCTTTTTCTATAAATGTACAACACCGACAACAAAACACTCAAATAAAAAGAGCTTGAACTAAATGATGTCCTCGAATTTCCAACTTTTATGTTCCGCCCCCTGTCAATTTAAAACAGATCAACAGAAAAGCCAAACTGCATAAGCCGCATTGTTCCAAGCGTGGGGAAAAAACAAGCTTACGTATAGTTCAGAAAATACAGTTTTTATTTTGTAAGTAAAATTTACAGAAAATGTGAATCCCTGTATATTTTAGCACTAAACAAATCTTTTTCAGACGCTGTGCAACAGTAAGTTGAAGTTTACTATACTCTTTTTAAAAACTTAACACATTTGATTTATTAAGTGAGTTTTGGTTCCCAGAAGGTCCTCAAAATATAACTAATCTTCCCTTTAAGCTAGTTGTGCCAGTTTAGCTAAGCAAGCGCTTTCTCACTTTAGTTAATAGTTTAGATGATTTCCCCTAATTTTTGAAAATGCACATGCACAACTTGTACCTGCTTTAGTGAAGGAATGCCGATTAAATGTGTGCGGCGGCATGCACAAGCCCATTTCTACTTATGCACAGTCTGTTGAAAGTTGCTGTTTGCAAGCTTACTTAATAAAAGAAGATTTGTACTTTTTCCATTATACCGGACTCGCCCCCAGTAAGTGCATGCGCAGAAAAAAAAAGCTACCCGGGGATGAGCACGTAGGCCGGCCTTACGTAAACATATCACCAGAATGAGTGGAAATTAGGCGGACCACTAATTTGATGATCCACCCGGAAAAAGAACATCCTCCACTATACCTTTAAGAAGGAATTTTCTCTTCGAGTGCTTTCCTGCATTTGCGCCAAGTGATCTATTACAAAAGGAGAAACTCAGTGTCTGTCAAGGATAGACCACAAAATGTAAGGAAAGAGGGGGCCACATCCTAATGCTCAGTGTGGAAACAATTTAGAAAGTGTGACCTGAACCAAGCCTTTAGTTACACCCTCAGTTGGCCATTCCTACAAAAAGTTAACAGGGAAATCTCCCAATGCTCTTGATGTCAACTTTTTATTGTATTTGTTTTGGCCATTGTATGGCTATTGTCTCCGAAGCAATCATGTACTACTATTGAAATGCTCTTTTCACTGGTCTGGACGGATCATACATTTAATTTCTGCAACCTGTTCAATGAGCACCAGTTCTTGAGTTCTTACTGAATCTTGTAATCGTGTAAACATAACCTTGGTTTTATCTGACTTCACTAACAGATACATTAAGTGACATCCAACTCTTATCAAATTGGGTGTGACATGATTTTAAAAGCTTTAAAATATAAATATAAAAGTGGGATATCCATTTGTGAAAAAGCAAGAGGCGCAGATCTTAAAATAAAAAATCTGAAACACAATTTTATCTTTAAGATCTTAAAACATTAAACCCTCAACATCTGATTATCTTTTTTGTAATTTTCAAATTTACTTCTTTCAAAATAAAGCTGACAAACAGTTTAGATAAGTGCTTCTGCTCATTATTTCAAAGAGGTGCATATGCTGTATCTAGCACCTGGAACAATACATATAAAGCACAGGTTTCCCAATTCCCCCCCTATGGTGTGACCCAATTGCCAGTCTGTTGGAGCACTTTCATATTGGCATGATATGAACAGAGATTTCGTCTCCAGTATGGGTGATGGGAAACTATAACCCAGAGGCAGTAAGAAAAAGCTGTATTAAAGATGATACCTTTTTGTTTAATATCTTGCCTTGTCACATGGCATAGAACAGCCCTATATTGTCTTTGTGCCCAGCGTATCACATTGATGGACCATAAGTAAAAAAGTTAATTTCTCTATGTGCTTTTTGTCTCATCAGCGAAGAAACGGCGCAGTGCTTCACCCCTCCTTGCCGTCACGGTTGAGCCACAATCGGCTGGTGTCCACTTTTCAAATCGAGGCGCAGCGTGGAGAGCAAGACCTATACCGCTGCATCGCTCTGTCCCCGAGAGGTGCAGCCGTCTCCAACTTTGGAGAGTTCATTGTCAGAGGTAAATAAATCCTACAGGTATATCTCTGTCTGAAAAAGTACATGTTTTAAAGTTTGTTAAATTTTTTGTAGATCAAGTGATGAAGTTAGTATTTACATTCAATATAGTCACACTTAAGACTACATTTTAACATGTAGTAGAGTGTAAGGCGTGAATCAAACCACCTGTTATGCCACAGATGCATTTGGCTGTTTGAACTGATGACATAAAACAGTGTCATCGACAGCAGCTGGTGGAATATTAACAGCTACCAAAATACCACTAGTAAACCCTCTGGGTAAATAATAAATGAAAATAAACTGCTTTATAGAAGCATCTAATTTCCTGCCCCTATTTCTTCTCCCTGCTCCTGCTCTGCATCCACACTGCCTCCTTTTCAACTCAGTTGTTGTTTGTGGTCCCTGGTGGTGCCTTCTGATGTTCGTCAGTGATCACTGAATGGGCTGTAAAGGAGGGCTGCGCAATTTAATACTGCACTTTCACTTTAATTCATTAGACTATCAACGTCAATATTTACTGTATTGCACGTTAATGCATGTTGTGAAAGACTGTTGCTTACTGCTGTGTTGTAGGGGTTTGACTCATACTCTGGAACAGTAAGTGGCGATAATGCACCAATGACCTGACTGAAAGCCTCCCGATGTTTCAAACAGAAGAAGAAGAGGGCTGTGCTGACTGTTGTGAAAAACAGAAAAGGAAAAAGCAAAACGAGGAAAAACTGAAGCAGATATGGAGAAGGCTAAAGCCACAGAGCTTTTAAATGGCCATTTTCAATTTTAAGTGCTTCCAGGAGGCGGTTATGATAGAAATATAATTATTTGTTTATTCATATGTACATACAAATAAATAGAAAAAAAAAAATCAAGAAATCACAATGTATGATTTTTTTAAGATCATGTCTCTCACAGTGGACATCCACTTACAATTTTAGACCCCTCAATGATTTCTAAGTGGGAGAACTTAGCAGGGTTTTCGAATACTTTTTTCCTTCCTGTAATTTTCAGCTTGGCCATTAAATACAGTGACCAATTGTCCCTATTTTCGGACCACCTGTCTAAGGCTAAAGTTGTTCCCGGAAACGTCCCCGATTTGACTATTTTATGAATGAGCCGGGAGGTGATGTTTGCAGGCTGTTGTTACGGTAGAAAGAGCTCATGAGCATGGTGCCCATAGCAACAGCAGTTGCGGAGCGGAGAGCACCACTTTTAAAGAAGATTAGGAACTTTGTTATAACCAGTGTTGGGCATGTTACTTTGAAAAAGTAATTAGTTATAGTTACTAGTTACTTCTCCCAAAAAGTAACTGAGTTACTAACTGAGTTACTCCACAATAAAAGTAAGTAGTTACTAGTAAAAGTAACTATTGTATTACTTTTGCGTTTCTTGCCCCTGTAACCCTCACCACCCAGCCCCCACCTTCTCGCCGTGTGTTATATCTCATATATATATTTATATATATATATATATAAATATATATAT